TCAATATTTTAGATTTTTATATTTTAAAATGAGATGTTTATCATCTGTTTGATTATGTTTATCTGTAGTTAGTTACACAAATTCAAACATTGTGCTTTAATAAATTGTACTTATGCATAATTTACTTGTAATCTTGAATTTTAAGTAATATGTATCAATATACAATATTTCATGCATAAAAAATAGTTTTTAAGAATTTTTGTTAAATGTTTAATAATATAGATATAGATATGTTATCAAAGACAAAGCAAATTTAGGGATTCAACACCCTCTATTAATTTGTACCCATCTAATGCTCTTATCATCTATCTATTTCTATCTTTACACTTTGAGACAATTTTTGCTCATCAATCTTCTCAGGGCACGGATCTAGAGGGGTGGTGTATGCCACCGTATTGTTCCTTCATGGTAAAGTAAAAAAAAAATTAGGTTTGTAAAAGGTGTAACCGTTTTATTCTAAGATGCAACCGCTTTATATGATGTCACCGTATCTAAAAATTATTGGATCCGTCCCTGAATCTTGCATTAAAAAAAACATGTTAGAGTCTAATATCAGGTATACTAAAAGTATATGTATTGAAAGCTTAATTATTTTGTCAATAATATAAAGATGCTTTATTAATTAGTATGATTTTTAGGTCCATAAAATAACAGTAGTGGGAGAGATGCTTTCCGTTTAGAAGCGTATCTGGCACGTGCGAAGGAGGCCACGACTTTTCCCCACATCGCAACTGCACACGAGTTTGCAGGAACACGTGGTGGCCACCCTCCTCAAATTCAATTCATCATCATGTGAACCTCCATCATCATGTGTCCTCCATTTATTACATCTTAAAACATCACATAAAATGTTACCCTTTTATCACTCTAATTTTATTTTTAAAACAATTATATTATTTTTTAAATTATATGTTCTATCTCCTTACTTGATTTAGCTAATATAAATTAAGGTGGCGTTCGTTTTTTAAGAGGTTCTGAAGTCTGGTTTCACTTCTGAATTTTAAGAGGTGGTACTGAAGTCTGAAATCTGAATCAGTCAGACTGTTTGTTTTTACGTCTGAAATCTGAAATCTGAATTAGTTAAGTTTTGGATCTGATAGATTTGGATTGATCTGGGTCATGATTTTACGAGAATATGTGGATCGATCTRRGTCGTGATTGATTTGGAGATCGAATGTCTTGCGTGATTGATTTGGAGATCGAATGTCTTGCGAGATAGATTTAGAGGACTAAATCTGGAGGTGAGGATGGAGGGGAGAGTCTAGAGGGAGCGATTTAAGAGGATTTAAGTGATTATGTTATCACTTTTTTTTCAGAGCAAATTAAGATCTTTTCAGCTCTTATTTATGTAAAAAAAACAAACGGTCTGAAAATAAAAACGTTTGACCGGTTCAGACTTAAGAGGCATTAAGTGGTTTTTTTCAAAAAACAAACAAGCCCTAATACTCAATATATATATATATATATATATATATATGCTAGTTGTGTAACTCGCAATGTGGCAGAAACCGTGAATTTTAACGATTTTGAAGTTTTACTGGGTTTTTTAGAGAATATTTAATAATGATATAAGTTACACTTGGCCTTTACATATTAATGCAATTTAAATAAATAAGAGTTATGGTTCCAATTACAGTCTATCGATGAAAAAAATTGTATGACAATTTAAAATTCAATATATTTAAAATCCAACATATTTAAACGACTCCACAAATGTGTTTGATTTACACCAAGAGCAAACAATCAAGAGATCGAGAGCGAGACCAGAAGTTCTAGAGCAATTGAATGAGAGATGAATGAGAGAACTTTTAATAACTCATGATGAATATTAATTTGAATCTTACATTGGGAGATGGAGAGAAGACATAGAGGTATGAGAGGGTGAAGACATGAGTGAAAGATGTCAAAAGTATCTTGGAACATGAAAAGAAAAAGTAATAATATGCATTACTAACTTGTATTATATGTTATTTTAACTGTAGATTAAAATATTTTAAGACTGAATGCATAAAGTAATAATATTAATATATAAACCCAAAAAACAAATAAAGTAAATTTACAAATTACAAATATAACTCGCAAAATAAGAAGCTCTTATTTTACGAGTTTCTTGCAATTCCCTAATTGCTATTATGTTTCTTGTGTACTTGGATCAGCTATCAAACATACCAAACGTTAAAAAAACAGGGGGAAAAAACACATTACATACAACATGCAAAATAAGAACTCGTATAAAACCGAACCTCTATCTAAAAAGCTGTATAATTTAAGTTTAAAAAAAAAATACTAACCTGGTTATTCACCATGAGAATCGATTGAGGGAGAGTGAAAACATTTTAATTATTTGATTAGTAAATAAATATGAAGTTTTAGAAAATTATTTGCATACAGTAGTAAATTATAAACTTAAGAGTAAACTCTAATTTTGATCATTGAGATTTAGTGAAAAATCTGAAAGTGGGATCTGAACTTTGTTAATTCTAGAAGGCATGTGGTTCTCGTTTTGCTTTGGAAGTGGTCCCTGGTCACTAACTGCGTTTATTTTCTCTGTTAGAGGGTAATTTTTCATCTATTTAACCTTTCGGCTAAAATTAAACAAAACAAAAATATAATATTATATTATATTGATTATGCATAACATTATATGTTACTACAACGTGACATGAAACCCAAGCCCCCCAAACTCTGGTGAAGTCATGGTCCCTGCTGCCCTTCATCTCCGCCATCCCCCACCCCACTTGCAAACCAAACTCCAATACCTCAAAGGATTTTGAACTCCTATCTCTTGATTGTTTTTGTTTTTAGGTTTCCTTCGGATTGAGCTAGAGTCAGAAGTGCCTGTGATTTGGGTTTATGTGTTTTCCTTTATACTTAAAGCTCTTTGTTCCCAGATAGTTCTTGTGATTTGGTCCCTAGAACAAACCATTCGATCTGCAGTCCAAGTGATCGTCTGGAAACCCAAACCCCCCCCCCCCCCCCAATGGTCTTGATCAAGTTGGACCATATTTCATCATGTTTACCATACAATCTCTGTATTGAGTCATTTATACTACAGTTGGTTCAAAAATGTAAAAAGAAATAGACCTATTAATGTTTGTGGCTACAACTAAGGTAAATTGAGAAATAAATGAAGGGTTTGTCTCAATTAATGTCACTGGATGCTCCTAAATTAATATAGCTTTAACAATATCATTTAGTTCCTGAAAAAAAAAGCACAGACACATTTTGCCTTTGGCTATCCTAGACTTGACTCGCTAACTGTGAATATGACATTTTAAGATTGAAGAGATTATATTAAAACCTAAGAAAATGACATCCCTTCAAAATGAAAACCCAAACAAAACCCGTCACCAAAATTGTGATTCTGTGAGACTCTGATGGAGAAGGAGGTGTCTAGTGAAATCAATTGATTTCATCCGTATGAGATTCAACACGAGAAGGTGACCGGTTTTGAGGGTTGTGGAGAAGGTGAAAATTAGTGCACATGGTTTAGGGTTTTAAATAAACACCAAAATTTAAGTTAAAAAACAACAAATTTGACAACTACGATATTCTAAACCCAGATCTTTTATACAAAAACAGAAGCATTTATGATCTCAACCATTAAATTATTGTGTTAACATTTAAGTTTCAAAAACTACATTGTTGTACCTAACAAAACAATATGGTGACATCTTTCAAAAAATGTATTTCTTTTCCTTTATGATGGAACCATGAAGTAGTGCCCGTATCATCATATCATTCTATGTGGGTCCGCCCCTACCTATGAGACTTTAGTAGGAGGAAAATATAGTCGGAGAATCGAAGAATATGACCCTTTTGTTAAGTTTGGTCCCTATGAGATCTCGTCAGCTATCATATACATATATATAAGTATAATAAATAATCGGGTTGAGTTTTGATGAGAAAGAAAGTTAAGGTGGGAAGCGTAATAAGAGATCTCCACTCTTGGATGCACATTAGGATGAGATGCATCAGATCAATTCCATATCAATCGCGATTTATAAGTGACTTTGAGATTAAAGATGATAAATGGTTCATATCTCCTTTTACACTTCTCACCTTAACTCTCCTTCTCACACGATCCTTCGCCATAATTAATATAATACAAGTATAAATAATAATATTATTATATACTCATTTTTTAAACAATATTAAAACAGATAAAAAGACAAAAATACCATTTTATATAACAAAGAGTATTAGGGGGTTGTTTGTATACCTCTTAATAGTTTAATTAAGAGGCAACCTCTGAATCTTTAAGAGGTGAATCTTGTTTGACAAAGAAAAAGTTTGTCTCTTAGGGGCTGTTTGACAATTGCTGAATGGTTTGGTGCAGAATGATTAAGTGGTCATAATGATTAAGAGGCTCTCATGATATAGTACAAAATGAAATATAATTGTTTGGTAATTGTGTACAATGAAATTAGGGCTCTAAATGGTTAAGGGAGTTCCAAGATACAAAATCATTCAGAGGGTTTTAGAATCATTAAGAGACAGATTTTTTTTTTTGCTAAACAAGATTCATCTCTTAACGATTCAGAGGTTGCCTCTTAATGGAACTATTAAGAGGTAAACAAACAACACCTTAATGTATCTAAAACTCTTTGAATGATTTTGTGTTCTAAGCTTTCCTTAATCATTCAACACCCTAATTTCATTGGAAACAATTATATTTCATTTTACACTATATTATGGGAGTCTCTTAATCATTTTACATTAAACCATTTAGCAACTACCAAACAAACTAATAACCGTAAATATTTTAAAAACAAAATATAAACCATAAGAATACTTTTCACATTTTTCAAAATTTAAGTCGCATTTCCATACTTTTCATTGTAGTGAGGGACCAAAATAAAGTTTAGATGTTTTTAAGAAAATGAAATTAATTATTTATAATAAAGTTTTATATGATAATATAATACAAAAATGACAGAAAGTGGAATGGATGCGAAAACGATATCTACAATTCATTTCAGTGTTTTTGGTGTGGAATTGATTTTCCATCTTAGCCTGCTTTTGTCCCCCATCCATTCCCCTCACACACTGCCTTTCGTCTCTCTCATCAAACCTCACCACTTCAATTTCTATTCGCCTTTCGATCATCACAAGCACCACATCAATCGTTGTTGATGTCTTTTGTTGGCTGACCTTTGATTTGGTTTCATTTTTAGGGTTTTTCTCAATCCATCGACCCTCCAATCGGCTGATTCCGTCTTGTTTACAAGAAAATTCAATATCCAACGCGGTTTCGGTTTCGGTTTCGGTTTAGATTTATCCATAAAAGAAAAATAATCAACATCAATCCGGATTGACCCTCTAATTTGTCGAAAAATCTTTGCATTCGTGATTCGGTTTATTCTTTCTTTTTGCTGAGATCGGAGGATTTGTAATTTAGGGTTTTAGTGGAGATGTTGGGCGCTGGATTGCAGTTTGGACGGAGTCGTGGTGGAGAGGATAGGTTTTACAATCCGGCGAAAGCGAGAAGGAATCGTCAGAATCAAGAGAATCTACGTAGAGCTCAAAGTGACGTTACTCCGACTCAATCTACGACGTCTTCTGGTAGGGAGGACCCGGATAATCGAGTCATACAGCCATCGAAGCCTGTAGCGTTGGAACCCTCGGTGGTCGTGGCGGCGGCTGTGCCGGCTTCCTCACCGTTGTGTAATCTAGAACGGTTTTTGGATTCTGTTATGCCTTCAGTTCCTGCTCAACATCCATCTAAGGTATGTACCGAACCCACTTCATTTGATTCAACTACGTCTTTTCCATTGATACTTGTATTGTGGTATCATGGGGGTAAAGTAGCTGTTAGTAACATTTGGAATTTCAGTTAGACTATGATATAGTTAACAAATCGGGTTTTTGATTTATGATATCTCAGCATACCTTACTTCTTATTTTTAATTGTGGTTTTCTATTTCGTGATTGGCACTACTTATATGAGATTCATTTTCGAACACTAATGAAGTCAGCTCGACTTCATTCATCTCTGGGCCCTGAGGGTCGCCTTCAGGTTTCAGAGACAGAGGGGAGTTGGGGATATTTTAAATCTCATAAAAGTCGATTGATGGTGAACAAATTTTGCTATTTGTGTTATATTTATATTGTTTAATTTGAAATTAAATAATTTCATATTGTTAGTCTAAGAATAATAAGCGTTACAATAAATTAAGGATTTCATATTATCAACATTAAAATGTTTACTTGTGCCCCAAATGTGAAAGTGTGTATTTGAATGTGGTTATGTCCATTTGAAATTGGCAAAGAACTATTTTCCAGAAGAATGAAAATACAATAAAATGGGTAATGTTACTACATTAGGTCAGCTTATGTACAAAGGGTATTGGAGGTGTTTATTTGGACTAAATGGTGATTTTGATTCAATACTGTGGCAGCAGAGAACTATGAGAGGGTGGAGGACTAGTGATGTGGAATATCAACCGTACTTCGTGCTTGGTGATTTGTGGGAATCTTTCAAGGAGTGGAGTGCTTATGGTGCTGGTGTCCCGTTGGTATTGAATGACACTGATGGTGTGATCCAGTACTATGTGCCTTATTTGTCTGGAATTCAAATTTATGGAGACCCTTTGAAGTCTTCAATGAAATCGAGGTACTACAACAAGACATATCTTCTGTTGTACATTTGTCTTCTTTGTTTGTTATTACTTTGTTCTTATTAGTAGCATCTATGATTTATTGAATCCTAGACACTTATGAGAAGTAACATAGTGATTTTCTTGAAGTGTCTTTATCTTCCATTTCATGTGAATACATTCCTTGACTCCTTGTTTTTTAAACTAAATATCATTGATCAACATGGCTTTGAATGTTTAGCATGTTCTTCTTGGGAGATCTTTATTACTTTATTAATATTAATTGGTAATTGCTTGAGTAATACACTTATACTTGCAATTCAAGAATGTTACTTGATTGGGAAAACGTACAAGTTATTCAGAGCTCCACATGGTTTACCGTTATTCATATATCTAATGGTTCATAGTTGGAGGATAAATGCAAAGACAGGGTTTGTTGAATGCTTGGGGATCTAGGGGTTGACTTCTTTTAGTATTTGATTATTTACTTATGGTGTTTATCTGTTACTTTTTCCTGTAGTATCAAAGTTTTTCTAATGCTGCAGAAGGGGATGTATACTCATGGTTCTATTATTGAACGTTAATATCTACAGTATATGAGTAAAATAGAGTTCAATGCATACTATATTAGTTTAATGATCCATTCTCCTTTTAAAGTGTGAGTTCCTTGGTTTCTCTTATATATGGTGGCATAGTGATCTTTGGTCTCTTTTGGTGTTGTGATGCTTTTGAAACCGTAGGCTATTTTTTGTTGTTCTCTAATAATCTTCTCTTTCCAATAATTGTACATTATCACTTGTGGGCTAGATGCTTGAATTATATGGCATGAGTTGGATATTCTTTTGTCTTATTACATTGGTGTTTATAACAAGGTTATCTTATCTTTGGATTTATTCTTTGTTAAAAAAGAGAAGGGCCATTTTTATTTTTCTCATTAAGTTCCCACAAAAGGAAAAACATCACTATGCTTATTTTATGAAATCTAAAGCTTGTCTACCAATATTGAAATTGTTCGTTTCTTCGAGCACAATTGCACAAATGAGAACCTTTCGTAAATAACTTCATTCCATTTTGTATGTTTTGATGATGCAGTATTGAGTGATGAGAGACTATGTAGTGTGTGAATGCAAAGCTAGAGGTCTAAGAAATACATTGCAATATAAAGGTTTTGGATTAGGCTGGAATAACATAGAGCATATGAACTGTAACTTTTACAGTGTCGATAGGGAAGTGGAAGATCTAGAAATGCGATAGGGACTAGAATTTGTTAGTAACGATGTTTTCCATTATTTGGGATAATTGGAACGATAAAGAGATTGCTAAGGATGTTAATTATAGGATAAAGCAACATAATTTAAATGGCAAGATGCTTTGGGAGGCATGTGTGTTGAGAAGTCACAGGGAATCTTGAAAAGATATGTCATATTGGCACGCATAACGGGGAATAAATCTCATAACAGTTGGCACGATTCATGGGGAATTAATTCCTCCATAGGACAACATTGTACCGAAGGTGAGAGCAAAAATATAAATGCTGAGGTGGATGCATGTTCACACGAAGAAGGATATGATCGGAAATATGGATATATGGGAGAAGGTTGGGCCTGCATCGCTTGAGGATACCAGGGGAACACCATTCAAGGTGGTTTACTTATTTTCAACATAATGCTTTGAAGACATAGGTTAGAAAAGGAGACATGTGCCAAGAGGAGATTGTTGTGAGGCTAAGATCGACCATTTTTGATAAAATGGTCAAGGCCTTTGTATCTGCTAAGTTACTTGGTGGGTTTGTTTTCCCATGAATTGAAAGTATATAAGGCACATACCTTTTAAAATGTACACGGTGATGCAAACAATTTGGACTGGGTTTATAATCGGAAGGCTTTTCTCTCACACTTGCTCTTGATGCTTATCGATTTACATGTTTCTCTTATTGCTTATGACGCTTCATCTTATTTTTGTTAATTAGTTATGTAACCACACTGACAATTTCACACTCCCATCTTCCAAAAGACTGCATACCCTCTAAGATTCACAATGCTTTTTTTTGGAAATTTTTGCAGTTATCTATTTTCCTCTCATAGATCATACTTCAGAGTCGTGATACATTTGATGTATTTTGGACATTCAGCTAAAACTCAACCACTAATAATTCACATTGTTCAAGATATTTTGGGCATTCTGCTAAAACTCAACTACTAATAGTTTCACATTTTTTCGGATGATGCAGTTATTGTGGGATGGTGGGAGTGTTCAAACTTATCATCATAGAATTCTTAAAACTGTGCATTGGTTTGAGATTTACACTGTTGCATTTGTGCTTGATATAAACTTTTCTCTCTCTATGGTATAAGCACCTATTCTTTTTTCATTGTTCAGTTTACTGATTGAGCCCATTTGTGGTACATGTATGATTATCTTTTGAAAAATTCATTTTTGAGTTGGAGATTCACTTTCTTCCTGCCTGAATTTCAGTTCTTTGAAACCAGATAATTGATGAGTTCTTGACATGCTTGTCTCTAATGAAAATCTTCTTATTTTATTGCTCTGCAGAAAACCAGATGAGGACAGTGATGACTCCTTTAGGGATTCAAGTAGTGATGCAAGCAGCGATTACGAACATGAAAGGGGTAATCACCATCCGAAGAGTGTAATCTCTCGACAAATGGATCAGTTGTCATTGAAAGATCAGCATCATGTACTTCAAGAAGGATTTTCTAGTGATGACAGTGATTCTGTGAGCAACCAAGGTTGCCTGTTATTTGAGTACCTGGAGCGGAATCAGCCTTGGGGCAGAGAACCTTTGACTGACAAGGTTAGTTTCTACTTCCGTCTCTACATGGGAGCAACATAACTTTTGTGCTGATTTAAGTAGCAACCAGAATATAAATTATACCATTTGTATTTCCAATAATTGGTTCTATTTTCTTGTTGTAACAGATACTTGACCTTGCCCGCTCCTTCCCTGAATTGAAAAGTCTAAGAAGTTGTGACTTGCTATCATCTAGTTGGTTATCGGTGGCTTGGTATGATTACAAAGACCTTTAATCTGGTTCTGGTACTTTCTCATTCTTACATATGCACATGCATATGACTTGATGGGCCTTTGTGGTGCTTTTAATAGGTACCCAATATACAGGATTCCTATGGGACCAACCCTGAAAGATCTTGATGCTTGCTTTCTGACTTTTCACTCTCTTCACACTCCCATGGCAGGTCAGTTGTATATTCTGTTTCTAAACAATGCCTATGAAAGCTGTATGATTTTTGCTATCCTTTAATTTCTTTGAAATTGGTTGTTGACAAGTACATACGCACTATGACAAAATTGGGTTTTTAGGACGCCAAAATCAAACTTCTCCTCATGAGGATAGATTGGGCGATTCGAACACAAGCGGTACATTCCAAAATAACCGGTATTCGGTGCGAGTCTCGCTGGTTTAAATAGGACTATAATTGAATCGGGTATAGAAGCAATAGGCAATGCTTGGTTACAATTTAGAATCGTTGTCAAAGTTTCCTTTAGACTATTTTATGGGACTTGAGTTTATAGGACCAAACACTTGTGTGTCATAGATAAAATTGTTACAATAAGTTTATGAGACTTTTTGGGCGTCTTAACAAGTTTTTAGTGCAATTTTCACATAAAGCTTTCTGTTAAACTTTATCTGACATTATTTAAAAAATATCTTATAAAAACAAGTGTTCTATAAAAATGCTCTCATAGGACATTTATTGGGAGTGTCCTTTAAAAAAGCTAACAGGAGATGTTATTTCAGAAATGTTCTAAAGAACTTGTTAAGTCGCTCAAAAGCGTTATATAAACTTATTTTAATACTTCTCCATAGGATGCACCATTGTTTGATCCTATAAACTTATGTCTTATGAAGCAGTCTGTTAGGACATTTGTACATATTTGGCGTCTTATAAACCCAATTTTTGTTGTGGTGACATGCTCATGGCTTGAGTTGCACGGTCTCTGTGTATTTATGAGCTGCATTATTGGTTGTTACAGGCAATCAATGTGAGCATCCACCTGTTGTGAGCTATCCTGGTGGGATGGATGGTATCCCAATGGTCTCTTTACCAGTGTTTGGTCTTGCTTCATACAAGTTTAAGCCACCCCTATGGGTCCACAATGAACGGCCACTGGTGAGCTCTTTGTTGCAGGCTGCTGAAGATTGGCTGACAATGCTTCAGGTCAATCATCCAGATTATCTTTTCTTTTCTCGTAGATGATACGACATTTAAACTTCTAGTATTTCTATGATCTGTAAGAAACCCAAATCATATCCATATGTGTACGTTGGTCAATGAGGTGGGACCGTTGGTTTTTTAGTTATTGACATATTGACCAAAAAGGTGAATTATGAGGGAAAAAGAAGATAAAAGATAAATGGCTGCTAGAACAAGAGAAATAAGAAAAGAAAAAGGAGAAAGTCTTGGAATGGCAGGGAACTATTAGGAATTTAGGATTGATGATGCATGAATAGAGCAAAGATAGAGGTAGAGTAGAGATGCAGGAGGTGTGAGCTTATAGAAAAGTAAAAGTAAAAAGTAAATTCCCATCTTGCATGCTTCTTTTCCTTAATGAAAAGTTTGAGATAAACAGGCTGTTTTTTTTCTCTTCCTGGTGATCTGTTTGAAGAAGTTTGTAATGTTACTACTTAGATATTGATAGAAGGGACCAGTGATGTTCCTTTGTTATATTTATTGATCAACTGTTGCCAAGTATTTGCTTGTTTCAGAATCTTTGATGTGTTAATGATAGTGTTTTATTGGCATGTTATTTTGATTGGTTGGTTGGCTCAAACTTTGAATTGCTTGAGCTCCAAAGCCAATTCCACTTGGATTGGGGCTTTTTTGATGTTTGGAATTGGAAATGAAGTTGCATTTGCCCTGCCCTTGATTGTCGTAGAATGACATTAGCCCTAGGGATGAAAAATGGGACGGGTTCTGTGTTAACACGGCTCACATGGGTCTAAAACATGTAGGAGGTGTGGTTGATGGAGGGTGCATCTTTCCTGATATGTAGCGTAGGGTGCCTGCACTTGTGAGGGTTGTTTTTGGTCACAAATATGTGGTTTTGCGTTTGCCAAACATAAACGCATGGTGCTGGTAAAGTGGGTGCTCGTTGTTCTCGCCAAACACAACCCCTGATATATTTGCTCGAGAAGGAGAATGGGAGGGACGAAGATGAATGCCATGGGAGGAGAAGGGTGGACAGTGGATCAAGATCGGATGGTGGTCTAGGTGACCGATCTGTGGCTTCTTGGTGAGAAAGAAGAGGCAAGCAAAGGCCAAAGGGAGGAGAGAAGAGGGTGAGATTGACGATGAAGGGGTGTCGTTCGATGGGTAGGGGGAGGGGTGTTCTCGAAGTTGAATTGCCGGAAAAAAATGACATACACAGTACTGAGATAACATCCAAAACCCTCGGAAGTCTCCAACAATCCAACTTCTAGAGACCCTTCTCCTCCTACCCCTTTGCCAACACCTCCCATCTTCTCTTTCACCAAGAGGTCCCACATTGATGATCTCTACCCTTTGACAGAGGCCACAGATAGGTCCCACTATCCGTCGAGCTACCGTCCATCTTTCTCCTTTTTCGGCATTCCTCTTCTTCCATTCCTGTCTTTCTTCTTGAGTAGCTCTGTCGTGGGTTGTGTTTGGCTAGAACGAGGACCCCCTTACTGTCACCGTGGGTATTGTGTTTGGCAAAACCACATATTCTCCTCCATCGCCCCTTACACTACCGACGGTTCATTTAGGTGTGGTTGAGCCGTTGGAGTCTTCATGGCGGTCGGAGATGTTGCAGTGGAATGCGTGGGTTTTGATTATAGAGGGCGCTAGGTACGGAGGGTGTAGGTTTTTCCTCCTTGGAGAACCAAAACCCACAACACACTACAAAATTTTCTTTTGGTTTGTGTTGTTTTGTGGGACTTGTTCATAATGATCACAAATTTACTCTTGATTTAGGGGCCGATTACCTAAACGCTTACAACCGGTGAGAGTAAAGACTCATTTACTTTACCGGGTAAGATTCTAGTATATCAGAACGACATTGTATGTAACAATTTATTCGGTAAGTGCTAACCAGGCAAGAGACGTCATTCTCATTTACCTTATAAGACTCTTGGTCCTTGCCATATACATCTCCAATAAGGTAAATGACCTGGTAAGTACTTACCGGGTGAGCGTTTGGTAAACGGCCCGCTAGTTTGAATAAACCCCTTCCTCTAAAAATCCAAGCGGTCCCACTGCTTAGCTTCGACCATATTTCGATTGTTAATACCGAGACAGTGCCCAGATCGTTACGCCTTTCGTGCGGGTCGGAACTTACCCGACAAGGAATTTCGCTACCTTAGGACCGTTATAGTTATGGCCGCCTGTACAATAAGATTTATTTTTAATTAGAAGGGTTTAATGCAAAAACAGTAATGCAATTTGTAATTTTTTTTTATTATAGCGTTATACTTATTTTTTATTACAAGAACGTCCTTTCAAAATTTTTTATTAGGACATTATATTTAGAAAAATATATCATGAAGCTCTTAGGTTGAAGCATTTTGACAAACAGTTGGTGGGCAAGAGTCTGGCTTAGTTAACATCCAAAACCTTTTGAGTTCTTGATTTTGTAGCAATGCTATAATCCAAACATGACAAAATATGAAGAAAGTAATTGCATCAGGAGATCACCAAACAAGCTCTAGAAAACAACTAAGATCTTATGGACCTCGAGTCCATGCCATGTTTTTTCCACAATTAAGCATTTTATTCAGCAAAGAAAGACGAGAGACAAGGGGATGGTGAAATTAACGCGAGTGTAAATCATGCCATCTACATATGTACTTGTGGCCATTGCTAGAATTATCTCAGGGCTATGAACAAACAGTTGTGATTAGCCATGTGATTAGTTCATATGAAAGATGCACCTTCATCAACCAAACCACACCACACCACAAATGCATACATATTTTAGAACCCGTTGGCACATGACTTGGCCCATATTTCATCCCTAAGGCCAATACAATCAAGGACACGGAAAATGCATGCGAAACAGACGGCTAAAAGAATTGCGTAGGTTTTACCGTCTTTTAATTTGGTATGAATAATTTAGTAAATTACTAATTATATCTCATGTTCCACATTTTTGTTTCACTTATTTCGCACGGTATAAAAAATTATAGTTTTCTTTCACTCTCATTTCGTTATATCTCAGTTTAATGTCGTGTCAAACATGAGACAACCAATTTAATAGTATCTTGTTCCATATAGCCAGTGACGGACCTATAGTGGTGCCACTGTATTATTCCTCCATCGAAGGGTAAAAAGTTTTAGGTACGTGAAAGGTGCATCCATATTAAGCTGTCGTGTGTTACCGTATGTATTTTGAAACTATAATGATAACAAGTTTTATTTGGTAGAGTTGGTTTTCAAGACTTTTATTCCACCATAGACCTAAGTTCGAATTCTGTTAGTGTCATTTTCTTAGTCAAAATGGTGCTATCGATTGAATTTTTTTTCGTATATTTTTGTTTCTTATAGTCTAAAGGTGTTAACGAGTCCAGTAGTAGCAGGTTGTTTAAGCTTGGATCGAGAAAATAAGAGCATGTTCGAGCTCGAATGGTTTTTTCTAATAGTTTTGAGCTCGATGTTTAACAAATCTGAGTTACATTAGTACCTAAAATTCAATCTTACTCAAACTCAAGATTGATTATCTCGTTTATTTGCTTGAGCTTGGTAACGACAACGACTTTTTTTTTAAATTTTAAATTTTGATTATAATTATTTATGAACATATAAATATGCTTGACTCGAAAAAGATGCGTGGTAGTCGCTTGTATGGCTCATGTCGACTTAAATAAAATAATCAAGTTTCCGAACGAGCCAAGTCGAATATTAATTGGTGTTGCAAAGCTCGAATTTTTAAGCTAAACAGGTTTTGTTTTGTGTTCAAGATCGACTCGAGTTCGAATGATTTTTTTTTATAAATAGTGCTCGGGCTTGAGCTCGAATGTTTTTTCAATGTGCGAGCTTGAGTTCGTTGCTTGTTTAACGGATTCGACTTATATATACATTATGACTTCAAATTTAAGCTTTCTTTGTTTACGGACTCAAACTCAAAATCAATTAACTGGTTTATTAGCTTGAGTTATAACGGTGATAACAACTTTATGTAAATTTTTATGTTTTGCTAGTAATGACTTATGCACATATATGAACATGTTCAGCTTGAAAAAAGTGTTTGTACGGCTTGCCTCCACGTAAATTTTTTAATCAAGCTTATAAAGTAGCCGCGTTAACCACAAGGGTGGTGCCTGATTGGTTTGAGCTTGGCTCCAAAGGTTAAAAGTACCAGGAGGTTCCAAGTTCAAATCCAAGGAGGAAAAAAAATCCCCTCACGGAGGTGAATATGGTGACTCCGCCGGGCTATCTGCAAAGCAGGTGGTTGCCCTGTGATTAGTCGGCTCGCATAACGGGTTGGATATCCAGGTTAATAAAAAAAAAAGTAGCCGAGTCAGTTGTTTGTGTTGTTTAAGTTGATCGACATCCGACTTTGGGTATTCGATTTCATTTGGATGAGAGTTTTCTTTCTTGGAACCCTTTGGTGTTTTCCTTCTAAATCATTGAATTGAACAAGTGCAAGTTACATAGTACCATTGACCTTAAAGCATTACCATTGATCCCCCCTGCATAGTACCATCCCAAATACTAAAAATGAATGATAACCTTAAAAACACACACACTAAACACACACACAAGTGTGTGAAATTTTCTTGATCAATTAACAAATGGGAAAAGGGGTGCCACAGGTAGCAGCAACCTTTCTAGCATTTGGAGTGTTGATGAACTTCTGCAGCCTTGGGTTGTTGATGTAGTTGCAAAGGCAAGACCTCTGCTCCTTGATCTTCCCACAACAAGTTTCCGAAGGGGTGGTGGACGATAAGATTGCGGTGGCACACGGGCTCAGTTGGATCGGGTTACAGTCCGTGGCGGCTACGGTTGAGCATCGAGCTCCGATGCCAAGCACCACCAGCACAATGCAAACTACTAACTTAACCATTTTCATTGTTATGAGTACTCACAGCAAAGGAAGAAGAGAAGGGATGTGATGTGGGATGTGGATATGGTTTCAATTTATAATAAGAGATTTTTTGGGGGGGGGGGGGTGAGTGGGGAAGGTTGGGGAAAAAGGAGGTGTTTAAAATCAGATTACATATATATATATATATATATATATAGGGTTGGGTTCACGTGAGACCCAGAGTTTTTCGTGAGACCCATAAGACTAATTTATGTTCATTGATCAACTTTATAAGCTAATGATCTAATGATCTAAAGTTGCACAGTGACAATTTTATGATTATTGAGAAGTCTCGTGACAATTATGTGATTATGAATGTTCAGATTGTAGATCTAATTCAAGGGTTGAGAATTGGTCTTACGGGTCTCACGTTAGATCTACAATCTGAACATTCATAATCACAAAATTGCCACGAGACTTTTCAATAATCACAAAATTGCCACCGTGCAACTTAGACCATCAGATGATTAACTTATAAAGTTGATCAATGAACATAAATTTGTCTTACGGGTCTCACGAAAAACCCTTGATCTCACGTGAACCCAACTCTGTATGTGTGTGTGTGTATATATATATATATATATATATATATATATATGCATATCTACTTGAAGTTCCAAATACGAATGACAAAATAGTTGAAAAGGTGAAAATAGATCTCAATTGTTAAATTAAATCATACAAAGAAGGTGATTCCAATGAAATTTACAACAGTTTTTCTTATGATCTATCACATATCGCATATGATCTATATGACCCACTATCTGAATTTTTATACATATCACATATGATAATATGAGTCTGAATATAAATGATATATCATCACATATGATAAAAAAAATCTATAAATGTAAATATACACAGTCACATATAATTAAAAAAAAATCTACGATCATCACATATGATTAACAAAAATTTCTATTATTATCACATATGAATCGATCGTAGATATCACATGTGATATTTGATGAAAATTGTAAAATTATTTTATGATAAGAAAAATTATAAATTATTTAAACAAATGTATACTTTGTAACAAGTATTTAATAGTTATGCATGTTCGTGGTCACATAACAAAGTGTTTGTGTAATTATATATGAACAATCGTTTTATTATATCCTAAAAATTGATGTTGTTTCCACTTTTTAGTATTTCATGTTGTTCATGTGACATTGTATGTGATGGAGCCTTTTATATGCCATTTCTATCTCATTTTTTTGGTAGGTTTAACAGTGAAAAAGGATGATGTAAAATTTTATATTACATTTTAGGCTACTTTTTATTTTAATTAATATGCGGATGAAATAACGAGGTCGAATGTGGACGATGACTTATTTAATCATTGTCAGTTACTGTTAATAAAACAAAGTAAAGAACAACCGATCACTGTTGAAATTCAAGTTAAAGTGACTGAATAAGAAAGAACCGTGTCCTTTTGTATTTTAATTGGAAGATATAGGGACCGTTTACTAAATGCTTACTCGAGTAAGTGAACACCAAGTCACATTACTTTACCGGATGAATATGGTAAGAAGCTAAGGACCAAAAAATTTTACCTGGTAAGAGTGAAACAAAGATCAATAGTCTTACCCGGTAAGTGAGGGCGACGACTCTTATATAATAAATAAAGATAATGTTAATTATCTTAAGTTAGTGGTTTAATATCGATTTCTTATATTTTGGAGTTCTCAAATGATTAAACGCATGTTATATAGGTCTGAAATAATGTAAAAACCTTCTAGAAGTTAAAAACTCTATGAAGCATTTTTAACCATATATATTTGATTTCCATGATTATCTTATAGATATTTTTATTATCTTATCAACAATTTTCTACAAAAACTCATTTTTTTGTTTTGCTTTTGAAAAAACAGCACTGTTGTTTTACTAATGAAACAACAAATAAGTTGATTTGTATTGATTGCTTTACTAATTCAAAGTCTTTTCACCAATGAAATAATCCATGAGTTAATATGCATTTATCTATTTTGTTTCACTAATGAAACAAAACATAGAGTTGGTTTGTTTTGAATAGAGTGTTATTTCACCAACGAACAATACATTAATTGGGTGATTTCAGATGAAGAAAAAAATGAGGTTTTTCTTAAGAAACAGTTGATAATACAATTAAGGAAGTTATATATGTGGCCTATATTAGTTTATAGAGTTTCTAACCTTGTGCAATTTCTATTTGATTTGCTCATATATATATATATATATAGGTGGAGGTTCAAACGAGAACCCCTGTGATTTACGAGAATGCGAGAACAATCTAATAACCTCAAACTTTTTTAATTAATAAATTAATTTATATTAAATATAAATAAATTAATAAGGGCAGTAATGTAATTAATTAATTTTATAAATTTTATTTTATTTTAATTAG